TGTCTCAAAGCCGCTCGGTTGTCCACAGGACGTGCTGGTGGCTCTCAGGACTGCTCCTTACGGGAAGGTTTTCATTCTCACAGCTGGCCAGTCTTGGCAGAAGTCACTGCTGGAGTGGATCACAGGCAATCACTCTAATTTGGCACTCTTTTAACTTTATGAGTCTTGCTGCAATTATATCAAACATAGATTTGGCCCAGCAAAGATGGTGAGGTTCATCCAGCTAGACGGTCTGAAACACAGGAATTTCACTTAATTGTTCATTACCCAACTACTGACACCTGCTTGATGTGTCCTGCTCACATGCTCAGGCTAAACTGATTGCCAGATCTGGGGCCATGAAGGAGTCCCGTCCCCTGCTTTTTGCCTTCTGTAGTTTAATGATAAGGTTCAATTCTTAAGATTGGCTGGGCACTTTCACCCAGTTTCTCCCCTGCTGATAAAAAAGTGACACTGTTGATTTCTCCATCTGTGGTATATTACTAATAAAAGACCAAGCCCCATCAATGTCTACCAAGGTTGTAAGTCTGCTGCAAGTTTGGGAAGTAGTTCTGCAGGTCCGTGTGCTTTGGGGTAGGACAGGTGAGCAGCCTCAGAATGCTTTTGGGCTAAACATGATTCCCAGAGACTTAACAGCTGAGAAGGTCTCTTCCAGACCGGTGTTCCAGTTCAAGTTCAGTTCTAATTCAGCATTTGCCTAGAGGGACATTTGGGGTCAGATTCACACCATCTAATCCTTAGGCACTTAATTAAGGCATCTACATGAGAAGCCTGATCTCTCTAGGTGCTCTTTATAATCCATGGAGAAGGACCGAAGCTCCTGAACGGCTTTCTCATGGTCCCTGTCTCCATTGCTCCATATGCACCAGCTGTATCATGATATTATTTGCTGTAAATTTTCAAGAAAAAGTGGCAACACCAGAGCTCAGCAAAAGCTAAATGGGACGGCATATCTGACTCCAGTCTGGGTGGGAAAGGCTACCCTGCCCTAAGAACGGAAAGGGCAGGAAAATTCACCCCTCCCCACTTCAGCCCAGCCTTGGGATGAGATCCTGACTGCACGGAAACACCCACTGGCTGCAGCAGAGCTAGGATTCCCCTCTCCCCCCAGCTTGCCAGATACTGCAGCCCCGAGAGAGAGGGCACACTGCTGTGCCCATCGTTTAAGGGATGTCAAGCAGGGAACAAATTTTGTCCCTGGCTGCAGAGTTCACTAATGAAGTCTACAGTTGTTTTAGTTCTGGAAGGAACACTCCATTGTATTTGAGGATTTATTGTGAAATCGAAGCCTATCAAGGGATGCAAAACTTGGGATGGGTGGGGTGCCTGCTGATGTCCTTACAAAGGAAGTAAATATGTAAAAATGGTCTTGGCATCATGAGTTTGGAAAGAGCCAGTGCTAAGATTCAGAGCTTGCCAGCAACAGCACACAGTCTCTTCTGAAAAAAAAAAAAAAAAAAAAAAAAAAATGCCCCTTTGGAGCCTGATCTTGACAGGATGAAAAAAGCCTGTTCTGCAGCTTCCCAAAGAGTGTGCAACCAAGGGCACCCAGGGGGGCTACCAGGAAGGACACTAAACCCCATTTGTCAACGCATAGGATTCCTATTTCAGAACAAGTGAACAGTAAGGAAGTCAACACTTCTAAGGAATTGTTGCACATATACGCAACAAGAAGCCTTCCCAAAGCAGAGCACCTCAGGCGTTGAGCTCTTTGCAAAAAATGGGCCTTGGTTTTGGAAGCAAAAGACTTGACAGTCTTCTCCCACCTTTTTGCCCTGTTTCTGTTGTGAAAAATCTGGGCTTTCACCCCAATGCAGGGCTTAGCCAGCTGGGAGGCTCTCAGGCCAGCTCGGACCGTTCTAATTGTCTGACCTGCCTACTTGCCTAAGGTAGGCTGGAGGATTTTGCCTAAATAATGCACAAGATCCTGCAACAAAGGTTCCTGTGTCCAGCTTCTGTATTCTGCCTCCTGGCAGGCTGCAAGCAGCTCTGAATGCGGCGAAGAGGCAGAAGCTCATGCACAGCCCGGGCTCTGGGCTGGAGCTCCGGGGAGCCCGACCTAACACCCAAGACCTGCGTGACCTGGGCACAGTGTGGCTTCAGCCCCTTCAAAGAGGGGTCCAGAAGGGGCTGTCAGCACAGCTCGCTCCCGGACCTGGCAGTGCCAAACATCAGCCCTCCAGGGAAATGCCGACAGAGCTGCCAGCAATCACACTGAGCCTCAAGGTTTGTCAAGGTGCAATAAAAAAGTACCTGTTGCCTGCAGACTAGCACAGGTCTCCAGGTGGTAGTGTAACAGTGGGTGACCTGATACCCTTAACAGCTGCAAAACTGGAATACAAAGGTGAGTCGCCATCAGGGCCAGGAGCATTTGTGCCAAGACATTGGCTCGCACGGAACTGCAGGAGGAACAGGCCCTGGGAGGAAACAAGCAACTGCACCCACCTGTGAAATGGATGCTTCCTTGGGTTTTTCCACTTCTTAACTTACTGCATGCTTAATTATCCTGAAGGAAAACTGCAGGGAGGGAGGGTATGTTTAAGGTAGACTTGGGCAGGCTCATTTAAGGAGGCCTCCTGATCTACAGGAGTCTTTTGGTGCACAGCTCTGCTGTGTGTGAATAGCACTCTGTCTTTCATGAGATTTGGTCGTCACAACACCTGCACAGATGAGGCACTAAAGGATGTGCTCAAGGTAATATGGCTTGTGAAAGAGAAGGAACTAACATGAGGTCTCTCTAGCTGTGGGCTACTGCATTGATCACCGGGTTCTACCACCCCCTGACTAAGCAGCCACTCTGCCATCATTACCAGGAGCTTTTTCTAGTGCCTAAGTGCACTGCTGTGTCTACACAGCCACATGGAAAAGGGTGCAAGGTTGAATTCTCCACTGGACCCCATCTCTCCACAGACCTCTGTCATTACCTAAGCTCAAAGGCTCTCTGCCCTAAAATCCAGGACTCTGCCCCTCCATCAAACAGCTCTGCTGCAATCAATAAGTCTTCCCTAACTTACCCCAGCTGCACATCTCACACTGACTCAACAGGCAGCAACAGGTCCCTGAGCTCTGCCAGGCTGGTAAGACCTGGAGGGGTGGGTGGCCTACCAGGACTTGTGTGCATCTCTCATTAGGGATTTGGGCTTCCAACAGAAGCCTGCCCACACCTTTCCCATTCAGGTTTTGGAAAAAATCCAGCTCATTACATGGAATCAGTGAATAATTTAGATTGGAAGGACCCTTAGGTCACCTGGTCCCTCCTGCAGGTGATCCCAACGCAGAGGAGAGAGAGGAGGGGTAGAGTTCCAGCCCACTGAGAAGGGCAGGTCAATGGGGTCTGCAGGTTCAGCAAGGTAGAGCTCTTGCCATCCTGTTCCTGTGGCACAAAGGAATCTCAGCTTATGAATCTCTGATTAGCTTTCCAGCCCCTGGGGCTGTAACTGTGAGCCAGCCTTAACAAAGGGCTTGCACCTTTAGAGGCAGGAACTTCTCGCAGCTGAAGGGAGTGTTAACTTCGGAATGTAATGCAGACACCCTCGAAATTAGTTGTAAACCACCTACTTCACTGCTGATTAATGAACGTGATCTTCTTCAGAAGGTCTGCACAAACTGTTGTGTTACAAACCAATGAAAAATAATTTGGGAAATGTTAAGTGTGAGACTTTCACATACATGTTCCTAATTCTTTATTTTTGTTATAGGCACACATCTATGAGGTTGATCTTTCATATTTATTTTTCTCTTTTTGTTTCCTTAATAACAGATTTCTTAGAAGTTTCACATTACAAATGTTTAAGAAAAGACAAGTCCCAAGCTCCATTAATAGCCTTGTTGAAAGAATGGCATAATTTTACACAATATTAGTAAGGAAATAGTCTGTATTCGCAGCCGTCATTGCCTTCAGACAGACCAAACTCACACAATCTGAGGAGGATGAAATGTTTCATCAGGCTGCAACCCGTGAGAGGTTTCTCTCCTCCTCTAGCCCCTTGTCCTAAACAATTGCCCTAGCTCTCTCCCCCAGAAACTTGTGTGATATCAGAAATCCTCTTGATATATTCAGAGGTGACAGTTTTATTAGCTAGTAGTAGAACATTATTAGTTCTGCCTACAACACTACATTTTTTCATACCAGTTTATGCACAGGTACAACAGCATTACTGTTACAAACCTGCTTAAACCACTTTAAGTTCAGAGTCTTCATTTTCAGTATGGTTTTTGCCATACTGTCTTTTAAATACCCTGTTGCTGGTAAAGCAACCACTGTGACATACTATAAAGTTTTTACAGTTTAGGCCATTTTACCCTAGAGATGCAGCCACAGACACTTTCAGGTAAGTTTTACAAAGCCCTAGCCTGCTGTTGTTGTTGCCATTTTAAGGAAGTTATTTGAACCAATAATTTTCACCTCTATAGTTTAAACTGTTTCAGCCTCAGAAGCATGATGTCATCTGGCAACAGAGGTGCACAGGGATGGGTTTGAAAGCAGAATTTTGGTGAATAATATTCACTTGGGTTTTTTTCTAATCTGATCCCTGCAATACAGCCATGAGTCAGGTAAAAGAAAATCTGTAGCTGGTTTAACTTCTTTGCCAGGCAAATAGCCCCAAATCATCTTTACTCTAATGCCTCTTTATGCAGTCATTTCACAATGTTCTCCCTTGTGCATTAGACTGGAAATTAATGACCTGCCTGGCAGAGATAGGCCAATCCGTTAGGTCAAGAGGCTTTGTAAAATAACAGTTATTGGGGATTCTCAAATTATTACAATTTTAAACCCAAGGTGTCCTAACCTCGAAAAAGGGATAGGTGAAATGAAAACTGTGGAGCCTGGCTACGTTTCAAGGAGGTAAGGAAAAAAGACTTTTCCTGCTCTTGGTCACTTGGCACCTAACACCTTCAAAAACCACAGAAATGTTCTCAACTCTGGCATTAACTGTTAGAGCTCTGTGTGTCCTTGGTGTTCCAAGTGGGGAAATAACTAACCAGCTGCATGGACTCACCAGTGTCATTGCCTTTCTGCTAAAACAGGGAAACTTGCACTCTCCATGTGCAAGTCCTCTGGACCGGTGAAGTTCCTCCTCTGCTACGCTCATCTTCCTTCAGAGGAAATGCTGAGGGCCAGGACACAGCCCATACGCCTGCGAGCCTGTTCATTCGGCCCCAAACAAGGAGGACTGTCAGGGCAGCGTGGATCCTTTTCCTAGAACAAAGGAAGCAAACAAAATTACTTCCAGCTTCTCAAATTCTTCTCAGAATAGTATGTCAGCTTCATCTGTACTGCTATCCTGTAAAAAAGAATCTGGAGAAACAAAAGGAATGAGACAAATTCCCATGCTTTCACCAGGGCTATTCTCTGTACGAGAATGTACATGGGAAGAGCTTGCGGTGCTATTTTAAGCCCTAGGTGTATTTCAAGGGGATCTCAGCTGAAGAGCCCAGGCTGTGCTGAGTCAGAGGGGAATCCCATGAACCAGCCTCATGACAAGGATGTAGGACCCTTTTTCATCCTTCACATGAACTAAAATTAGAGTTGAAAGAAAGAATCCTGTGGCAGAAAAATTGCCCGCAACAAAGGGACCTCAGAAACAGAAGCATGAGGTTAATTTGACACTGCACTGATATAACAAAAGCCAGAACTTTAGCCCTAGCATTCCTGTGGCAACTGCACAGTGATTATGCTAGTCCCTGGTTTCATCAGAGAATGATTTCAGCTGGCAGTGGGGCTCAAGTGATGTGTTCACTGCAGGATGAACTTCTGAAGTTATATACACAGCGCTGGCAGTCACTCCTCTGGTCGTTTTGAGGCTAACTTTATGGATAGTCATCTCACAGCTCAAACCAAGTGTTATGAGGTACAGAAGAACATTTAAAGCAGCATTGTTGTGACCGGCAAGGCTTTCATGTTCCAGAAAGATTACTGAAACATTCTGCCTGGTCAGTGCAGCTACTGGCCTTGTGCCTTTTCATCAGCACCAGCTGGCCTCCCAAAGGAGACGTAAGGATCCCTGCTAAGAGTGAAGCCACATGAACAGCAGGCAGAGAGCCCAACCCTTTCTGAAGGGGGGTTCCCACAACACCCGTCTGTGGAGCCATGGTAACACCAGGTTTCGGTGACCTGGTGCTGGACTCAGATCGGTGAGCTCAAGACCAAACCCATTCTCCCTTTCCAGTCTTACAGCCCGAAATGGTGTTTACTGCCCGGCCCCCCACCAGGCTTGGCTGGCTGCTGGCGCAGCTTGTGCCAGCGTCTGCTCAGCTCCTTCCCACACTCAGAATCTCATTTCTGCTGTTCCACAGGCTACAGCATAACTAGCCTTTAGGGGAGACGTGTCAGTGCCTGCGAGCTCGGTCTCATCTGCTGCCATGAGCTCGGTACAGCCTCTCCTCCACAGCCAGCGCTGGGAGGTCATCCCTTGCCTTGGGTTTGAATGCCAGAAATACCCAACTCAGCAGAGATTTCTGGCTCAAAAGCTGCCACTTCCATAGGAGCCTCCAGGGAGGGGAAGGGATAGGCTTCGCTTCATTGTTTTGTTTTTAAAGTAGCACTCTCTCATCCTATTTTTGTCCTAGGATTGTTCTAATTGGACAGCTCTGAAGCTTTTTGCAGCTCATTCAAAAGGAGGGAGAGAGAGACCCTTCAGCTTTGCCCCTTCCCTACGGAGGGATTGTTGCTGTTCCAAGTCTTCCCACCTAATGACTTATCAGACAAAAGGGAAAGTCCTTGTTTGGGGGCAATGACTCCAAAGTGACGTGGGGCACAGCCGGGTTGGGAAGGAGACAGCGTGAAACTGTCTTCTCTCTTCTTCTGTTTTCTGTCTTCTCCCCCTGAGTTGCCTCCTGAAGTCACTGTGCCCTGAGGCAGATGACTGGCATGGCAGGGGGCAGTGATGTAGGATGTACACACAGCATGCTTGGCAAGAGGTGGCTTACTTGTAGCTGGAAGACAGAATAAAGCAGATCAGGAAAAGACACCTTAAAACAATCTCGTCACTCAGGTCTCTCAGGTGAGGCCACAAAATGAGCTTGGGGAAACAGCAGTTCCCACTTCTTGTAAGGTTTGTTGTTTTATTTGGTTGGGGTTGAGCTCTCTTCTGAGTGCAGGTGTTCCTGTTTGCACATTCAGCAACACCTCCCATCAGTTCATGACAGAGTGAAGCTATGAGGGAACAACAGTTCTGTTCCTGATCTTCAGTGACACCGTCACCTCGGCCTCTCCTCTAGTCAAGTCTCTTTTACACACAAGATCAGAACCAGGTCCTTTCTATTTCCCAAGAGAGACAGACATCTGCATTGGGGCTCCTGGGCAGACAACTCCATGTACAGCTTTTAAAGACAGGAGCTCCTAATTCTGGAGTATCTGGGGTTGTTCTGCCCCAGGCGAGAGCTCCACGGGCAGCGTGAACCTCTGGATTCTGGAGGGCATCAGCAGTCATAGCAGGAACAGTCAGCAATCACCAATCCCTATGTTTCTTCTCATGGTGACAAGAGGGACAAGGTACAAAGGAAGGTCTATTTTCATGTTGTAGATGCAGTAAAATTAAACTGGAGGGAGCATGCTTGTGTCGTGCAAGCTGATGAGCTCCTCTATAGTAACAGCTCTTCGCAGGTGTCACGTGCTTGCCATTTTCTTAGGGAAAAAGAGTGTAAAAGGCATTGAACAATGACAGACCTTGCACCACAGCAGTCTGCTTAGTGGCTGCTGGAAAACATAGGGCATCTTCAGTGCTGGGGGCAGGAGCAGGTCCAGCTGCAAATCTTAGCCCTGCTTTGTGGATATACAGCATACCTATCTCATAACACGTCCTAGGGCCAGCAGCCTGCATGGCTACAGCCCATGCCCGCTCTGGTGAGCCAGGCTTTAGTGGGAAAGCTCATATTCTCCGAGCAGGATTTGGGCTTTCCCCAGGGCATGGGAGGGAGGGTGAAAGCATTTATCCTGTCCTTTCCTTTCCTGTGCAGAATGGAGAAGCAACCAGTATCCGACCCTGCTGTTCCAGTCCCAGATAAGTGAAATACTCATAAAAGCATATGTTTGAGATATGAGTGAATATGAGGGAGGGCAGGGGCTCTATGGAAGTTGTATTATCCTTCCACATCCTTTACAGGAAGATATTCACTCCATAAATATCATGGGTTATGGCTGGGCCTGGAGTTCATGCTGAGTTTAATGGACTGTGCTAAGCAAGCAGCCTGCATGTGAATGTGCATGTGTATTTCTTCTCTCTTGCTGGAGGGAAGCTATTCTGGGTTCTCCCTACCTGACTGACAGCTCCTGAGTCAGGGAGCTCTGCGGCTCTCCTTAGGATAAATTGGCATTTCAAAATAGTGCTGGTGTATTTAAGGAGGGGAAGGAAGGCAAAACCATCCATTATCAGTGAATATGGAGTTTATTCACAACAGCTACAGGAACCTGAGATCCGGGGAGAGCTAGAAAACACTGATTAGAGGTAGGGTTTGGGTAGACCCACACCAGTTTACACCAGTTGAGCATCTGACCTCAGTCCCCTTTGGGTTTTTGGCACTCAGACTACTCGGGTGCTTTTGGAAATAATTCCGAGCATTTGTCTGCATCTGTAGACCCCTAACTACCTTCAGTTCAGCACCGGATCTCAGTTTCTTCTGGCAGTTGGGGTTGTTCTGGTCAAGGTTTTGGCCTGCCTGAGGGCTCAGAGCCAGTAGAGAAGCTGCTGTCAGCATCCCCCAAAGCTCAACCCCCTCCTCTGTTAGAGCATCCTGCTCCTCCACGTTCCCCTTGCATATACCTGGAACTGCTGTGACCATGGCAGGATGAATCCCCGGTTATGCAGCCACGGGAACTGGCCCTCTGCAATCCCCCGTGGCATTAATCAACACACTCCCTCCAAGGGCTCCTTCTTTGTTTACAAATTAAAGAAACCCAAATTCTTGCCTTACTGAGAATTTCCGCTCAGCTGTGGGTCACATTTTAAGATTCCTCTGTTTTTCTTTCCAAGTAACAAATGTTTGTTTTGCTGAAGAAAAAGGGAGTGATCCTGTTCTACTCAAATGAGTGTAAATCAGGAGTAATTCCACTGAATCCAAGGGGCCGGGAGCAGGGAAAACCCAGCATGAATAGTGTATCCTGCCCATTTCTATGAGCATATGAAGGCCAGATTTCTTAATTTCTTTACCCCCCGCTGCTTTTGTTCTCTTCCCACCCTTGCCCTGTCTCCCTGTTAGAAAGAATGTCATGACTGGGATGTCAAAGATCAGTTATCACTGGATGTTTGGTTGGGCTTTTTTTAATAAACATATGATGTTCTCCAGATGCTGAAGAACCAAGTAGGCTTCAGATGATCGCCTCTGGTCTCATTTACACAGCTATAAATCCTGAGTCACTCCACTTACTTCAGCAGACTAATGCCAGATGTAAGTAGAGGAACTAAGATCAGCATCCAACCCTGAGCTACTAAAAGCAAACTGACCAATTGCTTTTCTTAGAGGGAGACTTTTACAATGATTAATGACAGGCAGACAAACAAAAGAAGGGCCTTGGGACACATTTCTCTAAGTCACAGCAATTTTCACTTAAGCAACTGGGACATTTTTTAAAGCCCAAAACAAGAGAGACAAAACTATTTACTGTACTCAACTGACCTAGTTTATTTTTTTTTCCTTTTAAGAAGATACATGCTTACTGGGAACATGAATGGAAAGGTCCTGTTCACAACTTTGCCTTGACATTGCCTGAACTAAAAGTCATTTGGGTTTAAGTCAACACGAGTCAGGCGTCAGGCGAAAAGAATGGTTCCCACAGCCCCAGATCAGGAATCAGTGCCCTTTAATACAACTGCTTCTGCTCTCAGTGGTACCAGGAGTCCAGGCAGAGTCAAAGGAGCTTTTCTAAATTTACGCAGCTTCTGCAGAAACCAGAATCAGGTGTAGTTCTGAGATCCACCTGATAACACAGCCTTTACTCTCATGGTTGTATACAATTAGTTGCAACTGCATTTTAGTTTGGTTTCAGTGAGCCAGTTGCAACCCTGGTTAGAGTTTGGGGTCTGAGGAGCACTGGGTGGGAAAGTCTTGCAAGAAAGGCCTTGTGATGCTCCCAAAGGATGGCTGAGAAGCAGAGAATTCCATGCAAAATGTTCATCTTTGCAAACTCATCCAGCTTCTCACAATTGCAAGATACACTGCAAGATCACTTGCATACTTTTTCTG